AGAAGTATAATTTAGTTATCTGACTGTGATTTATCCGCATCAGAGAGCTCATCAAAATACACAATTAACTTACTCTGTAGCAAAATGTCTCAAACGGTAGCATTTACCGTCTAATGGTAATGATATATGAAAAGTTATAATAGTTGTATTAAAGTTTTAATAGAACGATCCGTAATTTTCCTCTATTATTAAATTTGCAACAACTAGAATTACACAAAATAACAAGTTATTAAATCAACTTTTCCAATATTGTCAGAGGAAAATAGAAATGATGTGAGTTTATGGTCTAAGAGGAAGTGGACGTTCACACTTCACCCTCGAAATATTGGCAACAGCCACCATTAATAATTGCCCGAATACCGTAAAAATAATAACGGCCGACCGCGGAACGCGTTCAACCAATTTACTACCGCTTTCGATAAAATACTTGACGGTGTGGCAGCTCTATTAATATACGGGGAAAAACGCCTTGAGTAAATAGAGAGAGATATAACTTGATAAAGTACAGGCAAACAGATCACCAGTAAAGTGTAAAACGTTTTCCATTATCACCATAAAGTGAATTAAGAAAATAATAAACAATAAATTACTAGCAAAAAATGTTTTTTATATTTAAATAATGTTTACGAGTATAAATGTAATTCTCAACAATCTAGTAAACAGAAAACATAATGTAAAGTCCGTTTTTTTATTTATGCGTGTGGATCAATTAATAATTCGAAAGACGTACCATTGCTATCTCTTTTCAACATTTGTAAACAGCCTCGTTACGTATTTGAGTCATGTTGGTGACGCTATTTATCTCACTTGAACAAATGCGATTAAAGTAACGCAGAGCTAGTGACGTATAATAGATTTCATTGAAATTGGCATAATGGTTGGCAATGGAATTTTATATTTAAGTTTGTAGCCCTGCACATGTCCCTGGTATAACAGCAAATGGGGTTTTTGTTTTCCTTTGTTGCTTACCTACATTTGTTGAACTGACATGACTGACATTTGTATTCCTTTCTTCACTGTTTTCGATCCTTGTTCGTTATTCCCAGTATTTTTTCAAATTATAACTAAAAGTAGTTCTCTTCAGAACGCCAGATTTAGAATGCACGTTAAGATATGTTTGAATTTCTTTTTGTTGTTCCTGTTTTAGATTAATGGAATCAAATATACCAATTTTAATAAAGCCAAAATATTTTCTCTAAAGCAAATAGAGTATGTTTGTGATGTTAAAACTACACCTACAAAAGGATGAAACAGGGTGTTAAACTTTTTATGGAATAAACTTAAAATAAAAAATAAAATAAAATTTTAACTATCTTAACCTCCTTTTTTAGTGACAAATTTAGTTTCTCAACATGTAGATAGATCTTCTTTCACATTTAAAGCGCGGTTTACACAATCATGGCCTACCGTTATGCCAATTTCAATGAAATGGATAATTTGGCTGTTAATTTTTGACGTTGTTTTTGTCACAATTCACAATTTCATAATTGACAGGCATCTCCGAAACTTCTATCAAGTTTTTCCATGCTTTTTAATAGGGAAAACCAACCTCCTTGGGGAAAACAGTTTTGAAACTAATATTTATACCCTTTATATCATCGTAACAATCGTAATTCAAGCCCTATAAAAATCCTAATGCCAGGGAAAAGCTTTAATTTTTGACTTTACTACCAAAATGTCAGAAGCTTTGAAATGTCAAAAACAGACGGAGGTCGTGTTTTTGATTCATACTACTCCCATCAGCAAATAAAAAAATAGACTGTACCTAGTTTTATCGTTGTTAATAAACTTAAAACTAACTCAACGAAGACATTTTTAAATTTTTTGATCCATCCACAGACAACGCACAAAATTAATATTTTTGTTATGAGTCATGAAGATCTTCCCACTGAAAACATTGATTTTAGCAAGACGGTGCACTACCACATTTTGGGATAAAAATGCGTTAGTTTTTAAATAACACTTTCAATGAATAAGTCGTGGATGTTGGATTGAATATCTTTCGTCTCTTGATTTAACCATATTAGATTTTTTTCTTTGGGGTTTTCTAAAGTTAAGTGTCTATTTTAACAGATCGAATACTTTGAAAAAATTTAGATAAAGATTATGCTTGGAAATGAGACTAATTGACCCAGAAATGATTTGTAACAGAGTGTACAGTATCTACACCCGTTTTGGGCAATGTCAAATGGTGGTAGTATTTGAGCAATTGCGCATTTTTTTTACAAAATCCCCATAAAAAAGATTCAATTTTTCCCAAAAATTACTTATGTATAAATTTATATAATAACCAAAAAAATAAGACCCAAAAACACTTAAAGAAATGTTGATTACCATAACATATTTTTTTTAAATCCTCCTTAAGCAACTGATATGAGATGAGTTGTGACTTTTCCACGCTTTTACGCTTGTTTTCTTGACTTTTCGCTTTAATTTTATGTTAAAAGGCGGAAAGACGTTTCCAGAGGTGTCATCATTAGGGTCTAAACCGGTAATAAAAACTTTATAGTATTCTAAAAATAGAAAACCAAGTACCTACTATTTTGTAGATTTGACTCATCATAAAAAGCCTTTATTTTGTTAGACTAAAACCGCACAAAACTTGTAAACCCAAATTGGAAGTAAATATTGTAGCACACTTCAGTGTTTGTAATTTGGTTTAATATGCAGAAACGGAACGAGTATAACTTTTATTACAATTACCTACCCGAGAAAATTGTTCCCTGGAAACTACCTAGGGATTAATATTTTTATTCCTGGAATAATTTTCGAGTGGATTTGCATCTGGATAAACTTCCTTCCACCAGTCAGTGACCTGTCTGGTCTTCGCCAGGGCCTCCGGATCCAACCCATTCATTGATCGAAACCTTGAACTTGAGGCAACTATCGCCGCCGTCGGGACGCTCCTCCACCCCAGCGCCGTTTTTACCGGGTTTAACGGCCCTTTGCAGAGTTTATCACCTCGATTTATGGCGGTACGCGCAGTCTGCGTCCATATTACTGCAATATGCGCCGGCGAGACAACCAATCAATGTTTTGTAATCGCATTCGTCTTCAAGCACCAGACGCGCCTAATGGATTCTTGCACTGATTACTTCTTTTACAGCGCTTGATCCGTGATGATAAGTGATAACGATAATTTAATGTTTTATAGGAAGCATTTTGTAACTTTTTCTTTGTGTTGGGGCGTCACAAATAAAAATTTTATTACTTGACACACTGATAATAACAGGCGAAGCTACAATCTTGCAGTGTTAAGGTGTAATTTTATAAATTACACCTCAAACAATTAGGAACAAAAAAATAGCAATTACAGTATAAATAAAAAAATTGTTATTTATCTATGGTCATAAATTCTGAAACACGCTGTATAAAGAAAAATATTAGTTAGCCAGTGCCCTCTTTTGACCAGTTTTATAAAAAAAAAATGCAATTTTGTAATTTAATTTTTTCTAATTTGCGTTTATAATACTTTTATTAACGTCTCTCAGTAGGAGTCGTTTATCTATAAAAGCACACTGTACTTTAATGGATTTAGGGTTATTTAGTTTTTGTGTGCCGCTTCTGACTTGTCAGGTAACAAATCTTGCGTTGTTACTTCGACAATTTCGTGAATTTCGGGCGGAGTGCAAACTAAATTCTGTTGGCTCATATTTTATTTATTATTATTATTTGTAACACTAACAACTAATAATTTGTATTTTTTTTTAATGACAGAAATGATTCAAAAAATCTGGTAGGCGTCGAGTATTACCAACCGATACCAACTAACACAAAATTCTCTAGACGACAAAAATATATTTTTTTTAATTAAAATAAAAAAAGGGGGCGCAATTAGAAAAAATAGCATAAAATACTCGTTTTATAATGGCATTGGCGCGCACTCATCCCATAGAAAACTCGTTTTCTAACTTGGGATTCGTGCGCCACATCAACCCTTATAAAACTTGTAGTCTGTTTTTTTTTTTTAATGGAAATTACCAAGTCAAAATTTTGGTGAAAAAATTGGTAGCAGCTTGTCTCCGTAGCCACAAATTTTGTTTGCTCTTTGTTTTTGTCCCTAAAAATTATGTTAAAAAAATATGGTTGTGTTCAAATTGAGATGTTGTCAAAATTTTGACTTTTATGAATCTTGTGTGCCTGTTTCCTCTTAGAAAGCGCTATAATTGAATACTAAGGACATTATTTACCTAAGGTCTAAAGACCGAATTCAGTGCTAATAATTTTGACAGAAACACACCGCAAGTTGTGTGTGAACAAAAATGAGATTCTTGCTACAAAAACTTTGAAGAAAAAGGAAAATAAAGTTATTTAGCAAAAGATACAAGTAGGTACTCTGATGATGGCAATAAATTTTGTGTAATTTTTGAAATGAGCTTAAAATTCATGCATTTCGTAAATTCTTCTTCAGCTTTAGTTTCCAAATTGTTACTTTTTCAACTCGTTCCTCAAAAACGATGCACGAGACTAATTTAATTGCATTCTTTCCGAGGTTCTTTCTCATTCATGTTTATTTTGTATTCTTGTCAATTTTTTGCTAAAAATTAAGAATGATTAGCAAACCTGCATTACAAATTGCGTCTATATTTTAACGGGCCCTTTTTCTAACTTCCTGCTTGCGAACTATTCGTTTCCAAATTTTGAAAAACTGTTAGTGTACCGAATTTGTTTCTTTTTTGGTGTTTTGTCTCTAAATTTTCTTAGACGATTTTTTGTGTTGACGTTTAATGACAAATTTTTTTCAAATTAATTCAAAAAACTGGAACTGCCAACTTTCTTTATTAAAATTACCATGAATGAATTTACTAGCGATGCCAACGTTAAGACTGGCATTTCCATTAAAAAAAAAACAGACTACTATTTTTTCATTTTATGTTTTTGTAATATTATGCGGTTTATTTAAAAATTTATTACAGAAAACATTTGTTAATTAATAAAATTGAATTCTGGATTCAAACCCTAGAGTACAGATTTGTTTTATGCGCAGCGCATGCGTGCTGTTTGTTTTACATATGTCATATGTCAAAAAATGTCAAAACGAAAATTCAGCGAAAGCGATTTTTCGCAGAGTAAAAGGCGTCAGACGAAGGCTGACGCTAAGAAACATTCCTTGGATTCGGACGAAGAGGACGACTACGATGAAGCTGAAGACGAGCTCAACGCCGATGATATCGAGGGCGAAGAAGAGGGAATCTCGCGTCAGGTTGAAGGGGTCCGCATGACCGCTTTCAACATGAAAGAGGAAATGGAAGAAGGGCATTTCGACAAAGAGGGGCACTTTATTTGGAACAACGAGAAGGAGATCAGGGATAATTGGTTAGATAACATCGACTGGCATAAAGTTAACAGCGATGATAAGTACCAACTGGACCCCAACGACAAGAGTTTGGGTGCGGAGAGTGACTCTGAATCGGAAGCTGAGAATTTCGACGAAATTGGACAATATAAAAGGATGCTCCACTTTATGAAACCGAAGGAAACAGTGAATAAATGTCTGCGGAGGTTAGGAGGTGATTTGAAGTTGTCCAGTGTAGAGAGACTGAAGAGGAAAAAAGCGGGAACTTTGAATTCCAATCAGGACGTGGCGGATATGACTGAAATTGCGGATAGTATTTTGACGAAAACAGGAAACATGAATGTGTACCAAGAGACTTTTGAAGAAATTTCCAAAAAAATTGATGATAGGACAAAACCCAAAAACAGTGAGCCTGTTTTGGACATGTATGCTGACGATTTTGGCGACAAGGAGAAGGAGAAAATGGAGACGGCTTCAATGTCAGGTAAATCTGATCAGTTAATGTGGGAATTTAAATGGGACCAAGGCAAGGACAAAGTCGAGGGTCCTTACGATACTAAACAAATGATAAAGTGGTCGAAAGAGGGGTACTTCAAAACGGGAGTGTGGGTGCGTAAGTGTGGCGAACAATCCAATTTTTATACCTCAAATAGAATAGACTTTGAATTATATGATTAATCGTGTTGTAAAAATTTTATTATCAATATACACAAAAAGATAAAAGCAATTTGCTTAAACCTGAGCTGTAAAAGGCACTTAATTACATTCCATTGTAGGCTGGACCGCCACCTCCTTCAGGAACCACCCAGTTGATATTCTGACTCGGGTCTTTAATATCGCAAGTTTTGCAATGTATACAATTTTGGGCGTTTATTTGCAATCTTTGACCGTCTCCACTTTCAAGTGGGACGAATTCGTACACTCCAGCAGGACAAAACCGGCCTTCGGGACCGTCATAAATCCCCAAATTTTGTTTGACAGGAACAGTGTCATCCTTAAGTGTTAAATGCGGGGGTTGGTCACCTTCATGATTGGTCCCCGTCAAGGCAACGGAAGAAAGGAGATCGAAACTGATTTTACCGTCGGGTTTAGGATAGTCGATAGGTTGACAGTCTTTGGCCGGTTTGAGTCTCTTGTAATCAGGATCGCCATGTTTGAATGTCCACGGTTCCAACCCCCCGACCATTATGGAAAATCCGCTGTACATCACGCCCCCATACATTCCTAAGGGATTATGGAAGCTGGGACGCACATTTCTCACTTTTTTTAAATCTTTCCAAATGAAACTGTTTTTGACTTTGTCTGGGTAGCTTTTAGGTTCAAAACTTTCAGTTTCTTGTTTTTCACTATTGATGGCTTCGTAGGCGCTCTCCGCTGCCAACATCCCACTTTTCATTGCATAATGCGTTCCTTTGATTTTTGGTACGTTGAGAAAACCTGCCGAGCACCCAACGAGACATCCTCCAGGGAATGTCAGTTTAGGAATACTCTGGAAGCCCCCTTCGTTCAAAGCACGTGCTCCATAAGCGATTCGTGTACCCCCTTCGAAGTAGTGTTTGACACTAGGGTGGTGTTTGAACCTCTGGAATTCTCTGAAAGGGCTCAAATACGGGTTAGAATAGTCTAGAGCTACAACAAAGCCGACTGCGACCAAGGGAGTGTCTTCATTGAGATGATAGAGGAAGCTTCCACCGTATGTGAATTTGTCTAAAGGCCAACCAATCGAGTGCTCAACGCGGCCAGGGCTGTGTTTCGCAGGGTCAATCTCCCAAATTTCTTTTAAACCGATACCGTAGGTTTGGGGCTCCGAATTTGCCCTCAAATCAAATTTTTTGATGATTTGTTTGGAGAGATGGCCATGGCAGCCTTCCGCAAAAATGGTACATTTGGCATGTAGTTCCATGCCTCTCTCAAAATTGTCTTTGGGGCTCCCATCTTTGGCGATGCCTACATCGTTGGTCGCTACTCCTTTGACGCTACCATCGGGATGATAGAGAATTTCGGACGCTGCATACCCTGGATAGATTTCAACACCCATGGCTTCAGCTTGTTCCCCAAGCCATTGCACCACGTGTCCCAGTCTCACGATGTAGTTTCCATGGTTGTACATTGGTGTACCTGTAATTAAAAAAATTATAAATTGTTGACACCACAGATTTCAATACCTGGCAGTACTGGTACAGGTATTCTCCCAGTCGCTGTTAAAATCCCAAATTTGTCTTCTTTGACCGGTGTCTTCAACGGTGCCCCCTTCTCCGCCCAATCAGGTATTAATTCGTCCAGTGCTGTTGGTTGTATAACAGCTCCTGATAAAATGTGACCTCCTACTTGAGAAGCTTTTTCAACAACACAAACTCTGAGTTCTTTTCCATCTTTTTCAGCCAATTGTTTAGCTCTTATGGCGGCAGACATGCCCGCAGGACCTCCCCCGATTATTAAAATATCGGTTTCGTCCCCAAATCTTTCCATATTCACATCTGAATTAAAGTTAGGTCAATGAGTGGCAACATTGAAAAGGATAATTACCCTTCCATCGTGGGTCGTTTTCTCGTGGGACTACAGTGTAGTGAGTTGTAATTTTAGGAAACTGCTCCGAATAACATCGTGCTAAAGGCTTCAAAGATTTGGCTAGAAAAAAATAAGAAATGCACTTTGCAACATAAACAGAAGGTACAAAGGTCACTGGGAAATATTTCATAAATTCGCTTTGAAAAACCACCAGAATGACTTACAATTAATTAATGACTGTAATTTCTAGCAAATTTTAATGTAAATAAGTGGAATAAGTGGAAAAAAAGTTTTATTTTCTGAAAAATGAATTAATAAAAAATTAAGTCTAGTGTCCTTTGTAATGGTTTTTATTTCTTCTTTTATAAAACAGTTGCTAAGTAATTTTGTAATAAGAAACTTACCAAATTTTATACTTGTAAACAAATTTAATGCCATGTCGACCAGTTAGTTGCCCTACTACACCTTTGACGTAACATTTGTGATTGACAAACAGCTGTTTTTATCTACGTTTAGTAAATACCCCGCTAGAGGGCTTATCATGCTTTTTATTGATTTACATAATTTTCTTATCATTTATTAATTTTTTTCTTATACAACAATGTCAGAGATTATAATAATAAGATGTTTTTTATTATATCATTTATTATATTGCTTTATCGATTTTTGGGCTATTTTATTTACAGAAACCTGTCTTATCGGTCCGACTTGACTATCCGTCAAAAGCTCGAAGCTTTTTTATTGACGCAAGCACGTGTTTTTTGTATCGAAGTGTTTTGTGAGTGAAAAATGTCAGATTCAAGCGATGATGAGTCTCAAACAGCATCAGGCCCCGTCGAAAATGCTTGGGAGATGAAAATTCCGGAATTTAAGCCGGAGGATAACCCCCATGGCCTCTTGGAGGAAAGTTCCTTCGCGACGCTTTTTCCTCAATATCGGGAGCAATATTTGCGTCAAGTGTGGCCCCTCGTGCAAAAGACTTTAAACGAGCATCACATTAAAGCCGAATTAGATGTAGTTGAAGGAAGTATGACTGTGAGAACAACACGGAAAACTTGGGACCCTTATATCATTATCAAAGCTCGAGACATGATCAAATTAATGTCACGCAGTGTTCCTTTCGAACAAGCCAAACGAGTTTTGAACGATGACATTGGTTGTGATATCATTAAAATAGGGAAAATTACAAGGAATAAAGAGAAGTTTGTTAAAAGAAGGCAAAGGTTGATTGGCCCTAATGGATGTACTTTGAAGTCAATTGAATTGTTGACTAATTGTTATGTGTTGGTGCAAGGACAGACTGTGTCGGCTTTGGGGCCTTACAAAGGGTTGCAGCAAGTCAGGAAGATTGTTGAAGATACCATGAAGAATGTGCATCCTATTTATAATATTAAAGCTTTGATGATTAAGAAAGAGTTAGCTAAAGATCCTAAGTTGAAGAACGAGAATTGGGATCGATTTTTGCCCAAGTTTGTTAATAAAAATATCAGTAAACGGAAGCAACCTAAAAAGAAGAAGGAGAAGAAACCTTACACGCCATTCCCGCCTCCACAAACTGAAAGCAAGGTAAAAACTAGGAAACATTTTACTAGACAAGTTTATTAATATTTTTGTTTCAGATTGATAAGGAGTTGGCTTCTGGTGAATACTTCCTTAACAAGGAACAAAAACGGCAAAAGAAACAGAAAGAGAAGAACGAAAAACATGCGGCCGCCGCAAAGAAACGAGAAGAGAAAAGAAATGAAGCGTTTATCCCACCATCTGAGGAACCCTCAACGTCGAAGAAATCATCCAATGTTAACACGAAAGTTGATATAGCGTCACTTAAAGAAAAAATCATGAAGGCGCGGAAAGGAGCAAAAATGTTTAATAAACCTGTTAAATAACCTGTTAATATTATTTGACTTGACATCCAAATTTTGACAATGTCTGATTTAGATGAATATGAATCTCAAGAAAGAATCGCTGTTAAAGATGGCTTTTCAGTGCGTGTAGTTGAGTACAAGACCATCAAGCTTATGTCAAGTTTTTTAACAGTATTTCTTTTAATTGATATAATTTTCTCCTGCAAACTTTTTCTTTCTGCAATACAGATCAGATCGCATCTTGGGTATTTTATTAATATGATTACTAGCGGCGATGGTGATACTTTACCCGCGTTGCAAGCTGTCCCAGTGTTATTTTTTCTGATTATTAATTTATTGATGTGTTATTATGTTTATGCGGTGTGGGAACCTAGCGAGCAACCTAACGCAAATCGAACGATGTTCTTTTTAATTATTTTGGCTCTTGTTATGGTGGTTGTTTTATTGATAATTATTATTAGTGTAATCGCACACGCGTATAGCACGCATCAGAAACTCCACGATGGTATTGTGACTGCAATGAATCACTATTTGAACAGTACTACATATAAATCACAGATTGATCGGCTACAAATTGAAATGCAATGTTGCGGAAGCAAGAAATATGACGAATGGTATACGATCAAGTGGCAAGATCAAACACTGGAAAAAGAAACTGGGTATGTTTAAGTAGAAAGCAAATAGATAAACCTTGTTTAGAAAATGAGAGTTTTACACAAGATTTTAATGTCCTGTTTTGTGATTTTTGAACGACATTTATCACACTAGTTCTAATTGCTGTACTTTGTTTAAAACTTATTTATCACTAGAATCCTAATTTGTCTTAGAAAGCGACAGTTTAAAAAAACATCGTTAATCAGTAAATTGTTTTTTTAAAGTTCTGCCGCTGATGGTAATGCTCCGTTTAGTTGTTGTTCTATGAAATCACTTTCTCCCTGTGTCCATCATAAGATCGAAGTCACAGGAAAAGCATATTTGTATACTCCTGAATTTAATTTAAGTATTTCGACAAGAGGCTGTTACGAAATGATTCGCGAGAAAAAACAAAAAGTTGGTTGGATTATTGTGGGTAATTTGTGTCTCTATATTATCCTCGAGGTATGTCGGAGTCAGGATTATCAAACTTGCATAAAATGATTGTTTTTTCAGATTGTGACTTTAATTCTGTTCAGGTTTATACAGACGGCTCATTTTGAAAACCGGCGATTTTACGGAAGTGCTCGTTCGTACACAATCTGGCTTTTCGGAAGTTACAGTGGCAAAGTGAAAGACAATAAAACACCCCCAACACCTCCACCCGTACCTCAGGAATTGAAAGACTGACTTTTGCAAAAAATATATTAAATAAACGATCACCAGCATATTTGTTTATCTGAGACCAAATTCTTGAGTGTTTTCTCTGTAATCAATCGCATTGCGAATGTCGGTATCGACGAGTTAAATAAAACGGCCAAAATATTATCCCCGATTTTCATTGCGAAGCATTTATGGTACTCCGAGCACCAGTAGGTTTCAAACCCTATATTTACATCGCTTTTATTGGAAATTTCCGAATTGCTTCCATCTTCATTCGAGTCTTCGTTGGGCACAAGGAACGTTAAAACCGATTGATAGAAAAACGTTCGTAAAATATCCAGGCGATGCGAGCTGCTCGCGTTCTTTTTATTGCTATTCTGATGTGGATTTCTCGTGATCATATATTTGCCGTAAGTTGTATTTACCAATAGTAAACCTAAAATTCCGCCGTCGATGTGACAAGTCGAGTGGAAGTTTCGCGGATGGCATTGTATGGCGGAACTTAAAATATCTGCGGAATTCTTGAAACAATTAGTCGCGGAAAATTCCACTTCCGAGAGAACGGGGGTGGGACCGCAGAGACAACACAGTTGGATGTCTGGAATTAAAGTACAGCAAACGAAACGAAAAGCCACCTATAATTAAATTTTATAATTATTTCTAAAACTGAAAATAAATCACGTACTGTTGGACTTTTGTACGGCAGAAAAACTGGAATGTCTTTAGAACTTGACGTGTTCTCACTTTGGGCCAAAATTGCTAAAAGTTTGATTTCTTCAGAGTGGAGCGACCACCAGCTATTGGTCGCAGCTGCAATTTTGCCATGAATAAGGACGCAACTAAATAAGGAATCGACGCATTCGGTAAACGAGTCAAGAACGATCTGTAATTACTTTCTTGTTTACTTAGTAAATTAAGTGGGCGGCAAAAACCTGAATCAAGTGGTTTTCAGGACACAAAATTGTTTCCACCATTCCTATTAAATCCGAGGAGTGTCTACTGGAGGAATCGCCACAATCTAAAGAATCCAGCAATCGATCGATCAAAGGATAACATATCTAAAACAATGTTTAAGACAAATCAAGTGTTTTACGGTTTTTTACCCGCAATTCTCTTTTAAACCGTTCGATATTTCTTTGAGATTTGATCTCTTCGATTCCGACAATTAACACAATTGCATTGAAAATCGAGTCGAGAGTCTTCGTGAGGATCTCAATAGTGCAACCACTTGATATCCCAATCAAAACTAAGCTGAAAGGTAGTGTAAAATTGAGAAAATGTAGCTTTGGATTACCATTCGTGATATTCCTTCCATGCTAAGGAGTAGTCTTCAGTGATTGTATTTTGAAGAGTAATTTTTTGCGATTTTCCAAACATGTGGACTCCATTCAATGATCCAATTGTTGAAAAGGGTAACTAAAGCAAAAATGACAAGATATGAATTTTGGGCACCCCCGAAATTGCTAATCTGCATTATCGGCAGTGAAAGGGTTAAGTGTTGAGATAGGATAAAACAGTAAAAAGGAGTTTTTTATTAAGTTTTTGTTAGTATAAGTTTTGTATTTACTATAAGTTTAGTTTAATGCAAGACTGGGGATTTGGTGAAAGCAGATTGTTGTTAGGTGTCAACATAACCTAAAAATATTTACACTGTCAGTATTCCCTTTCTTCCTGGAAAATATGGGCAAACCACCCCCCGAGGTGACACAAACAACATGTGCCGACATTTTTCAAGTGGTTAGAGCAAATATTGGATAAGTAAACATTGACACATCACCGGAAATTCCGTCTGAAATTAGTGATCCAGTGATTGCGCGTCTGAAAAAACGCTTTAAAGCACTGAAATTGGTCGATTATTTGTATTGGTGTCGTAAATTTCGTTATGGAACGTTTTGATTGAAGCGATTCGACGCCCTCTGTGGGTCACCATGACAAATCACTGGTTATTGAACAGGAGACGAAGAGCGTCGCGATACGAACTTGGCGAGGACGGGGCTACCATCGACCGTCCTTGTCGGTCTTGCGTGAAAGTAAAAGAGAGCGGTTGAAAGTTCCACCAACATGAGGAGAAGCTGCAAAAACACGATGTCGAACGTCGCCGCGATTTTCAGTATTGCGGCGGCAACGGATGTAGATGTAACGCGAGAGAGGTGTTGATGGTCCTCAAAGACACTCTAAGTGCACTGTGACCGAGAAGCCGCCACGATGAGGAGGAACGTCAAGGTTTTGCTGCTCTTCTCCATGGCATGGATGTTTGTTATTATTTACTATTTGCAAACCACCGGAGACTCGAAGGTCTGATTTTTTCAAATATATCTTTTCAAAAAGCACGTTTCCACGGATCGAACTTAACCTGAATGTCGGCACGATGCAATTTTGGTGGCGGCGAAGGGAGAATATTGCCTTCAAAGGGAGAGAAAGATTAGAAAGCTTGAGCGCTTTTTCATTGTTTAGGACGTGCTGAGTCAGAAAAACCGCAACCTGCCCTATCGAACCATATAACGACTGTATTACGAGAGTTCTAATTTTCAACCGTGAAAAAAATGATGAATAGAAGATCTTGCGACACTTTTTGGCTTAATACACTTTCACGCTCGTGCAAAAATAAATAGCCTTCTAATGACTTTGTTGCAAAATTATTGCACGTTCAAGTTTTTTTACTAATGATGATATAATTGATTTTAAGCTCGCCCACGCAACTGCTATGACAACTGTTGAATTGTAATAGTGTACTTTTAGGAGAGACGAGCGTATATGCAGCCTTGGCATTACCATCTAAATTTTTGGAACAAAGTTGAAACTGAAAGTGAAAGATTTATTATTAGCACATTGGCTCGGTTTTATTGTGACATTGACTCTATTAAATGATTGAAGAATTGTTATCAGTGCTACAGTTTTTAATAAAGACAGAATCTTTCCATTACTTCGTTTAAAGGAAATTGTTGTAGCAGATGGTGTGACCGAATCTGACAATTCGATTCAGTGAAGCGAGTAAATGGAACCAAAAAACATTTCTTTACAATTAAGACGAAACTTATTCAACCACGCTGAGTATGAACGATTTATTATACTTTTATGTAAAATTTTAATGAAGTTTTCGGAGCGTGAACTTACTCTTTGCTTACAGTTTAGAACTTCTTTTGGTATCCGAACTTTTTTGAATCCTCTATTAAAATTGGATTTATTTTGTTAATTAAATGGCTACGAGATGAAAGATTCAACTTAACAGCATTTACAGAAATAAATTATTTAAAGAATAGTTAAGCTCAAACATAATTTTAATTGAGGCAATTTGCAGTTCCAAATTGATTTTGGACAGTTATTTGCTAATTAAACTTGCATCAGCGCAAATGTTTTTACTTTATGTAAAATTAAGAGCCTATTCTCAAGCGAATACAAAAGTGGAAGTTACGCTTCGGTTAACTTTGTATTTCCTCATCTTCCACCGTGAGAATTTATTAAAATAACTCGCAGCTGGTGTTGTGTTTTGTTTCAAGTGAGATGCGCCGTCGGGACGTACTTAACGACGCTAATAACAAGGATTTATTATTTGATTGGAAACGATCGATGAGTGGCGGCATTCCGCCAAGCCAGCTTACGATTAACACTATGGCAGATCTCAATTTGGTGGTTTTTCGAACCGCCCCCAGCATCGATTAAACTTTCTAAAAATAGAACTAATACTGACATTGCCAATTATGTGACGCCATGCTCCAAAATCAACAACTCCGCTTAACATATCGAATCTAATTGCATCTTATGAAAAAAACAAACACAAATAAAATGCATTTGTTTGGTGGTCGACCCGATTTCTGTGCATGTTCCTGTTTACTGATAATCAACTTCCTTCAAATATTATCATTGCCACAACTTTTTTAATTTCATTGGGATAAAGTGGGATCAGCAATTGGTTTGGGCAAGTAAAGATGATATCTTTCGCCCGCCAAATGCGAAGCCGTATTTAGGAGATTGATGGCGTCAATTTGTAAAGCTTTTATTGCTGAATTTACCTGGGGAAGAGTGCGTTTATGTTGACGGTATCATTTCCTTAAACAGATATTTACTGTACATACAAACTGTTGCATTTTAAAAATGTTTGTTTTTAACTTTGTTATTATTGAGGGATATAAAATACGGTAATAAGCAATAAATGTTTATCGTATTTTACGATATGTCGTGACACAATGCACTTTATGAAAGTTTGAATTCTTGTATCTAATGTCCAAAAATGAAATGAAAAAACAATAATGAGAACACATTACTGTTACTGTAACTTGTTTTTTTGAGATGTAAGATATATGAGTTGTTTTGTATAAAATACTCGTACATAAATTTAGATAGTTATTATCAATTGGTAGCATTAAATTTCACTAATTTATAATGTATTGTTTGATTTCGTTAATCCATAAATCATAATTGTTTAATTGGAATAATTATCAAGGTGAATGTGGAACATTGAACTTGTTTTTCTAAACTCTTCCAAAAATATTTTTGTGGGTGTAAAATATTTGGTGATTTACGAATATTTTATTTGACAGAATGTTTTCATCGTATTTCTGTTTGGTGGAAAACGTCAGCTATTCGAATGTTTGTCTTTTTATTTATAACTCTGACATAAACAGATTCGTATAGGATGTTCAGCCCTCCATGAAGGAAATTGGATTTTCTTTAATAAGTTTTTAACGATGTCAAGTAGGAAGTCTTAGTCGTTCTCCCGAATTCAATAATGGGAGTTTTTTCGTGGATGACAAAACAATAACGAGTTATTCCGTTTCAACTTTCTGTTTTATTTGATACAAAAATTCGATTTGGTTAGAAATGCAAATTTGGAGTGCCACTGTACCTAATTAAATCTTGCGTTTTATTGATTTGTAACGTTACAAAGGGAAAGCTTTTCAAATTTGCTCTCTATATTGACAGTGTTGTGTGAGGGCTAGTGTAATTAAGGGCCTTCCCCTTACATTTGTCCTGAAAGGGCGCCAGATAAGTTCGGCACTAAAGAACGACATAAATTTCTTATCGCGACCTGTTCTGGCATCCACTCAGCCTTCTATTAATTTATGGCAATTGTGGAGTGCCAAGGAGAATTTTTTCGCCATTAACGCCTCAAACACTTAGAAAGGGGCCTAATACTCCAAAGTGGGTCACACTTTGTACGTTTATTTCGGATGTTCTAATTGTATACAAGTGCGCTAATTAAACGTGACGAAGTTTCCTAATTTCTGGAGTCATTCGCAGGCGTGTTCTTAATTTATCGCGGTAGCATCCTGTCATGCGAAACATGTGCTTGCAGGATTTGGGATTTAATAAGCTTCTTTACATTGTTGTCGGTTTGAGACAATTAAGCTCGACTTGCGACAGTGATGCGCCACATACGCTTTCCTGATCCCTGGATAAATCACCCGGAAGAAAGGATAAGCCGTTATTGTAAACGGAGTCGTGATTAATTGACTTTTATGGCACTGATATCAGGAATGATGGGCGTGATAACTTATCGGCGCCGACCGGAATACCAATTCTTGTTTTTTCTTCAATGTCCAGTGAAAAATCATTGCGAGCTTTCGAATTAATGAACAAATAGAGAGTACGCTCCTAGCTATCGCAGATCCGGAATAAGACCGTTTACCACTCCGGTGCTAATAGCCGTGCCAAATAAATTTAACCGTACAAAAGCATTCCAGTTTCCGGAGTAATTCTTTCTTGTTTCTCGTCGCTAATTAACGGAATTAAGGCAGGGACGTAGTTTTTAAAAATATATCTGCATCCATTTATTAATTTAATCCTTTCGTGGTGGAGATTTTTCAAGGCATTTATTTCACTTATCCTCAACTTTATTAGATTTAATCCCCAAGTGCTGTCTTCGCGTGGGTTTGGATTGTTCAAAGTCCATTTCTCGACGGAATTCGCGAGGAATGTAAACGTGGTCAAGTAATTGCAGGAGGATCAATCTCGAGCCTGGAATCGATTCCAATCTGGGAAAATTTTTATTAACAGTGCCACGAATTTAATGGAACGGCTTCTATTATATTTATTTGATTTACGATTTCACGCAGGTTTTTCATTTCTTTCATTATTCGCAGGTTTAGTTTATGCCTTTTTTATTTTTACGGTCCATTACATTTTACGTAAATGGGGCACTATTGACGTCCTTTTGCTTCATGTCATTTCTCTAGTAATATTATTTGATTCTTTTCCCTCATGTGTCACTCGGAAATTTCCAATAAAGCCATTTATATTTAATCTACATTATCTCCTAATGTATTTTTACTGCTCGCTTTTCTGTAAATGATCATAAAATGGGTCTCAAATGTATGAAATTCCAAATAACACATTCCAAAAACCTTGATATTGATTGAACAAAAAAGCTAAATGGCTGTAGATTAAATTTATATTTCTTCTGGAATCAAGGCTTTTCGGTTCATTAAGCTTAAGTAATTACTCGTTCTTTGATTTTATGTTTCATTGATTTTTAAGTCTAGTTCCTTGTTTCAAATTTTTAAATTTCACAAACTGACCGGTAGCTCTATAATTTATAATAATTTAATTTAGTTTCGATGAAATACGTTGTTTTACAACAATTCCTCTTTTTAAAATCGATAGTATGACAAAAGTATTGCATTAAATGTTTCCAAAATACAGTGTCACAAAGTTGCATTTTATGCAACTGTTTTCACTTACATAATATGTTTATTGTGCTACCGAAATAGAAAAAGCAATTTGTTATTTTGTATTTTCTTTTTCAAGTTTATTGGTAGCCCCCGCCCAAGGTGTTTTTTAGATCCGCCACTGTTTGCATTGATGTTATTGATTTAAATAAATAAAAAAACCGGCTTTGTTTGGTAATACTAGAGTGAATTTTAATAACACTGTGGTTTTATAATGTTTTTATGTATAAAAACACTGACTAAAGCCTTTTTCGGTGAATATATTTTTTATAGGTATAATGTACTCTCGGTTTTGTTAATTAATAATAATAAATGTTTTTTTGATATAAAATTTCTAACTATTTATTGGGAAGTACTTATTGATGATTAATTAAATTAATAAACGAAAATATCAAATATTTGGTGGAAAGAGTTTAATTTCCTTGACGCTTTTAATGCAATTCGTTTCAAATGAAAAGTATTTTTTTGATTTGTGGCAAACCAAACTTTTAGCGTCAATTGATTCTGTAAAAAGAAGTTTTCGGCAAACAAAAAATAAAACAAATAATCGGATCAATACAGCAAAGTTTGCTGTATACCAAATGAACTTTCTGTTGGTTTTGAAGTTCCAATGATTGAAGAAATCAATCT